ACACACACACACACACACACACAAACACATTTCTCCTTCATTAGTCTTATCATACTTTCTTATGTATGTAAATTTTACTCTTGATACAGAACAGCTCAAATGATAAGTGTAACCTCTTGTTTTTTTCTTTTCTATATCACAGTAAATTGGATGAAGATTACTTGTATATGGCATATGCTGATATTATGGCAAAGGTAATTTTTTTCACCAAAATCCATAATTTTATTTTTGTCACTTGTATCAGCATTCCTTGACTTGAAATACAAATGTTGATACTTTCTAACCAAATGAACATAACAACTTCCCTTCTTGTTTGCTGATTCACCTATTAATCTGATTCCTTCTGTCCACCATTTCTTGGCTGTAAGATGACCAAGATGCACCAGCGGTTTTGGGGATGTAGTTTTCCCATGGCATTAAAAACTGTTAGATTCTACATAATTGTTGGGAATTGACTACATAACTTTGATAGCTGACCCCAATAATACAGCAAACCCAGCAAAGTTTCCTATCAACAGTTCCTTAGCATTAGGCAAGAGATACAATTTATGTCTATGCTTTATTTTACCTTAATAAGAGCCAGAAATAATATTGAAACCAACCTATTTTAATTAAAAAAAACATTTGTGAGCAGAGTGTTTTTTTCAGAGCTGCCATGATGAAGAAGATAACAATGATGGTGAAGAGGAAGTGAAGAGCTTTGAAGTAAGATTAATACCGTCTACTTCAATCTTTTATTTTGTTCATTATTCCATAGTGTCTCATGTAGCAGCATTTGTTCATGCTTTTCAACATGTAAAAATATAATTCTGATAACAGAATGTATCTGTTTGATAAAATATTATTTTAAAATATTCTAAAAATATGACCACATTAAAATCCAAAGTTAAAGTATTTTCCATTACTTCCATAACAATTGAGAAGAGTTTTGATGAAGAACTTCCAAAGTCTTGTTTGAAACTCTTAAGACAAATACTTGGCTATGGATTTTGTATACTTAAGTAGCATCAGTACGATACTCTGATGGTCATAGAGATTACTGCTAGGTATTGAAGTATATTATACCCAGTATATAAGGCAAGACCAACTTAAAGAATAGTGTTAAGAGACCTGTGCTAATCAATCATTGTTATGTGATCCGGATTAGATATTTATGAGAAGTGTTGCTAGATTTGTATCATTTAAAAATGTTAAATTAAGAGTTCCTGTACAGTTTATTACAGTCTTTTACTGTTACTGTTCTTAAAAAGATATACAGGTAGTCCTTGACTTATAACCATCCATTCAGCAACTATTTCAAGTTACAATGGCACTGAAAAAAATGACTTATGGCCTTGCACTTAAAACTAGCCTCCCCATAGTCACATGATCAAAATTCAGGCGCTTGGCAACTGGCATGTATTCACAATGGTTGCAGAGTCCTGGGATAATGTGATAGCATTTGCAAACTTCCCAGCTGGCTTCTGACAAGCAACATTAATGGGAGAAGTGTGGTCCACTTATAAATTGCAATTGTTGTTCATTTAACCATGGCAAAAATATGTCATAAACACTGGCTTGCTTAACAGCAGAAATTCTGGTCCCAACTGTAGTAGCAAGTCAAGGATTATTTGTAAATAAAGACAGCCAGATCTGTAATCTCAATTTCTACATAAATTGTATGTAAAATTATCTAAGTCCAACATACAAATGTGAATTCTGTCTATCCTCTTATTTTTCCCATTCCCCCAAGTATCTCACCTTACCTATAAAATATGTGTTTCTCAAATAAATCAAGATAATAATACCCAGAGGAATGGCTCAAGTTTGCTTTGCCATTCATGTATTTTGTCGTCTTGGATATGTGCCATCATAAGACCAGTCCCTCTATATTCTATGTGAAGCAAAATATTTTTTATTTAACCACTTGGTGGAGTTCTGAGCAAAGTAGCTGATACTGGAAAAAATCAGTCTGGGTTATAAACTTGTCTGTCAGAAGAAACTCATCTGTGTATTAAGCTTATGAGCTTTGGGTTAGATGAAGAGATGTTATCATCTTAATGAATTCAGCTATTTCAAGATATTACTTTGTTCTTGTTGATAGGTTCAAAGACCTTTTGAGATCACCCCTATAAATTTATACAGTAATCACTCACTATAATTCTGCATTTCTTGCCAGTAGTGAGTAGAAACAATTAGCACTTACTTGCTCTGTGATAAGTCAGTTGTCACAGTTTGTACATAAGTACATATATGGCACTGTGCCTGTTATTTATTATCCAGTCCATTATCAAATTAGCAGTGACAATTGACATAGACAAATCTGAAATTCAGTTGTACAAGACATCTTTGAATATATCAACTAATATGGCATAGCTATCAGTGTTTCAAATATATCTTCTAGTTATTGAAGTATTGGCTTTTTTAAAGCAGAATTTGAACTGTTTCATTTCTAATGAGTGTAGTATAAAACGTCTTTTTAAAAGTACAAGTAGTCAAATTATAGAAATGCAACGAAAATAAAATGATGTTCTCATTGAACACAAAATATAGATTATTTATATTAAATTTATACTGTTAACAACTCATTAAATTATAACAGTTAAATGCTGCCCTACACTGAATTTCACATTATGAAAACACTCGTTCATAAAATACTTTATTTGATGTATAATGAACACAGGGATCTCTATATAACTCAAGTAACAATTTAAAACCTTAATGTTATTAATTGAAAAAGTTTAATTACATACTCAAATGCTTCCCATTTTTTTCACCAGTCAGTAGGAATTTCTGTTTCTCTTCATAATGTTGAAAAATGTGCTGCAGCAAGCAAAATATAAATTATCATAGATTAGAAATTTTTTATTATTTTAAAGCACTGAGTTTTATAAAAAAAAGGTGATTATGTGTGTCATTGCAATTATATATATTTGTAATAAAGAGAAAAACTTTAGTTTTGTTGTTCCCTCAGTGTAAGTAAAAAATAACAGAAAATATCAATCAAATTAAAATTATCCCTATTCAGAACTCTTCTTTGTCGCTTTGGTATTCTCGTCCTTGCTCTTCATCTTTTGTCTGCTACCACTAATCACTGTTGTATATGTGAGAAGTATATATCTTTTGTTGTTCGTTTTCACTTGCCACTGTATTTCCATCTTTAAATTATTATAAACCTTGATAAACACATGTATATTTTCAAGGTATCTTTATTAGTAGTAAGTATTCATATAATTAGAATTTACAAATGAATCTGAGAGTTATCAAGTAAGAGTTATGGAACTTGTTCAGCTGAAAACTGTTGAAACAAAGTTAATTATCAGGTTCTTTTAAAAACAAAGAGGACTGTTAAGCAAATCTATACTAGGACAGTCCGAGTTTCTATAGGAAATATATTGTGGGGAGGGAGAGAACGCATTAAACAATTGAATGTTAAATGAAGCCCTACAGGTTGAAACTTTTCTGGGTTTTGCATTTAAATTTTAAATTGTCATGAAACATATATGGGAACCAAGCAATCATTCTTCAAGAACTACAATTTGGACTGTGCATTTAGTTGAACAGCTATCGTCAGAGTACTTTGGACAGTTTTCTTATTGCTATTTCACTTCTTATCCTCACCTTTCCTTAAGGTCACAGGATCCCAACGCAGCAAGGTAAAATAATGTGTTGTGTGCTTATGTGGGGCTAATTTTGTGACATGTAGTTTTATTAGACTCAACATCTTGGACAAGTTTTGTTAAACAGCTTTGATACTTTAAAGTCTTTGCAGTTTCCAAAACAGAACATTTTCCAATTAAATGATCAACTTTCCAGCTGCATTCCTAATATTGTAATTAGAATTAGAATAAGCCAATCATAACAGAGTATGATGGATGAAGCTTTTTTATTTACTCTCAGTAAATGCTAAATGATTACAGTCATTACAGTGAAAGTTGAACAATGATTAAAGATATTTCTTATTTCCAATCTTAATGTCTATGGAGATTCTCAGTCATCCAGATCATGGTTGTTCCAAAGGTGCTTTTTCAAAAGACAACTGGACTTTGTTTTTCCTTGAAGATGTTTTGCCTCTCATCCAAGAAGCTTCTTCTGTTCTGACTGAATACTGCACATGGTCATGGAAACTTCTTGGAACTGCTGAAAGGACAACACAGTCCTTTGCACTATTCAGGTGAAGGCACAATAAACCTACAAGTGGCCTCAATGACTCACAGAAAGAATGAGAGATGAGAATAACAACCCAGATGACTGCAAGGAATATAAATCCTTCCATCCTCCACCATTAGTCAACAGAAGAAGCTTCTTGGATGAGAAGTGAAAGTCTTCAGAGAACAACAAAGTCCAGTTGCCTTTTGAAAAAGCACCTTTGGGATTCCAATCTTAATCCATGTAATTTCTTGCTAGAATATTATTTATTTATATAAGTTGTTCAAGAAAATAATTGTGTCCTACATCCCAGTAAAGTCTGATATATTTCTTATATGTAATATGTCTTCATGAAAAATCATGAGTGAACTTTTGCAATACTAAAAGTTAGAACTTTGTACAAATATATGACTTTCCAGTTTTCTATAGGTTATAGATATGGTAAATGCATGAGAAACAAAATCTAAGAAGCTGCTCTATCTAATATTTCCTTAGCCATGACGAGAGTGTTTGGTAATAGAAACAAAGACATAAAGATTGCATCAATCTTTAATAAAGATGGCATAGATACTCTGAGAACAAAATAAGCAAGTGATCCTAGAATATGAAAGCAAGATTTGAGTGTGGGAATGTTCTTTAAACTGTCTTTTCTTAGCTAGCTGCAAAAACATTTAAATATTTAATATTTTTAATTTTTTCCCCCCATTTATAAGATCATTCCATGAGTACTTATAACAACTAATATAGGAATGAGAAGTTTTTGTCAATGACTAAGAATGGTGGGGTATTCAGATGAGGAATTATTGTGTCTGTCAGAAATGGTGTAGGGTCTCCCGCTTGGGTGGAGGGTTGGACTAGATGACCAAATGGTCCCTTCCAACTCTGATTATCTGTTTTCTGTAGGAATCTACTAATTTGTGGCAAACAAATCTCATTTTTCCTCATTGTAATTTGAGTCTCATGATATTTTAATAAATAGTAATAATATTGTGGCTTGAAATTTTTACCCAATTTAAAACAATCAAAAATCTACTTTATCTTCTTTAAAAGCTATTCTATGGATGAAAAAATGAAGGACATAATGGGAAATCACAGCAGACTTGCAACAGAAGATATGTGGACCACCATTATAGTCCTATGAATGTGGCTGAATTATTGTTTGGCAAAAGCCTCTTCTGGAATATTCAAGATTTTCCTCAAAATATAAAGACATGCTTAGCATTAGAGAATACTTCCAATGAATTCTATAAACATTACTGAAATCAAGCTGTATTTCTCTGCTAGGTTTCTGCTCCTAACATGCTGCCATGTTAGCAGCAGAGAAGAGGGATCTTACAAGGCCATTAGAGGAATCTTACAGAGTTTTTGCTGTTTGTAAATTGCTGTTTTCTATATTTTTGGGGCATTCCATCTAGATAAGAGATATAAGAAGTCAGGCCTGTGTGTCTGCTGTCATTCTTTAGTACTCTTCTTGTGGGTCATCTTTTCATTTCTTTCTTCCAACAATGACACCACAAGTACAAAACCAAAGCATTTTATTAAATTGGGCAGAATTAAACTATATTTTTCAGGTTGCATGAAACAAAATAGTTAATAAATAAATAAATATGTAGTATTGCACTGCAAATGTTACAAACATACCAAGTAGTATATTTTATATGCAAATTAAGTTTCAAACAATAGATATTTATGGTGTTAAATCAATAACATAAGTATATATTTGCATTAAAGTATTGCGTACAGTTTTCCAAATTATTATCTCCCTCCCAGCGGATTTTGAATGCATATAGAAAAATTTCCAAAGGGCTTTGACATTTCTGTAAATATTACAGTTTTATTTGGGGCTTGGTTATGTATTTCCTAATTTAAAAGATGAATTGATTCTTTGTAACACTCTGAAGGAATTCATTTTCTTCTCATTCTATTAATACCATAAGTATTTCAGTTTAGGTGATGATTTGATATGGAGTCTATTTTTCAGACTCAAGATAGATATTTAAAAAATTTAAATGTGATACAGTGGTTAAATGTACTAGACTAGGAGCTGGGGGACTATGAGTTCTAGTCCTGCCTGAGGCACAAAGCTATCTGGGTCAGTTTGGGCCATTCTGTCTCAGCTGTAGGAAGAAGGTAATGGCCACTTCCAGAAAAACATTGCTAAGAATATTGTAGGAATTTGTCTACAGTCAAAAGCATGCATATATACAGACAAATTATAAGAAGAGTTCTTTGTAGCTGGGATGTTGGAAAACCTCTGAAAGCCAAAATGAACCACCACGGGGTGGGGGTGGGGATTTGTTTTTTAAAAACCCATGATAAATTATATAAAAAGAAAAGATTTAACAGTATTGATTGAGAGGTGATCATTGACTGGTTTTTAGTTAGTTTCACCTTTTAGTTGATAACAGTTTTTTTTTAGTTGATTGTTTTTCTCCAGGTGTTCCCAACCTGGTCCGACAGATTTTCCAATGATGAACCTGTTGGAACTTAATTGAAACCATTCATCTTGTTGATGGTCATCTCTTCTCTTTCCTTCCATCCTTTCCAGTAGTATAGATATCTTCAGAGAGCTAAATCTTGGCACAATGTGTCTGAAGTATGGTAGTTTTAGTATGGTCATTTGTGTCTGACATGAGAACTCTGGGTTGCTTTGTTCAATGACCATTGATTTCTTTTCTTGGATGTACATGTTATTCTCGTGGTATTCAAAGTTCAAAATCAAAGTTCAAGAGCATTAATATTCTTTCTGTTCTGCTTCTTCAAACAACTTTCCCTCCATAGAGTTTCACAGAGAAGTTAGATCTTTGATACATCCTGACATCAAAACATCACTTTCAAAGCCTCCATTATCGCTCTGCTAAGTGCAGATTTATAGAATATTTCTTGACTGCTGGTTCATTTACTGTTGCTAATTAATCCTAATTATATCTAAAGGCAGAAACTGTCCACTACTTCAGTATCTTCATTATTAGTTCTAAGTTTTAGTTCTGGTTCTTGTACTTTTTGTCATTCATCTGGCCTTTAATTAATTGAGCTTGCAGTACATTTGCCTTTTCAATAATCTGATGTTTAACTCTTCCAAATTTTAAAATTTCATTCATTTTTTTTCCATTTTTCTATGTACATTCTAAACACATCCCATAGCTTGACATAATCAACACAATGAGAACCCTTGCATATCAATGAACATACCCTGGTTTCTTTTTTTTCCAGTATTCTTTAGCTATCTTAATTATCAAGTGTACACCAGTGATAATGTCTTTTCTTCCTGATTTTTGATTTTTTTTTTATTTTTTTTCTTTTCATATTCTTCCCTAACAAATTCTTTGATTTCATTCCACAGTTCCTCTGGTTCCCAGTTAGAATATTTATATTCTTGATATACAGTCTTGGCTCATTTCTTCCAGGAATACCTTCACCCTCACCCTCACCAAAATAAGACCTGCAGCTGGACTTCCAGGGAAGAGATTATCAGAGTAGAAAAATACTATTAAGAAGCTATACTTTATTTATCTCTGAATATATTTTTTCATCTGTCATTTCCCTGTTATTATTTTTACTATGAGCCATGGTGGTGCCATGGTTAGAGTTCAGTACTGCAGGCTAGTTCTGCCAGTTCTGCTGACTGCGGCCTGCCTGCAATTTGGCAGTTCAAATCTTACGAGGTTCAAGGTTGACTCAACCTTCCATCCTTCTGAGGTGGGTAAAATTGTTGGGGGCAATATGCTGACTCTGTAAACTATAGTGCTATAAAGCACTATATAAAGCAGTATATAAGTCTAAATGCTATTAATATTGCTATGTTTTTGTTCATATAATGAAATCCGACATTTTCGAGCATATGAGAGGACATAACTTGACACCACCCATTTGAAGTGAACATTATTCTCAATAATGTGTCATGTATTCAATACACAGTATATCAAAATTGGGTTTTATTGCTTACTCATTCCGTCTTATTTTTGTGCTCTCAATAAGCAACAATGTCATGAACTAGAATTTAAATTTTCTTTATTACACTTTACTTCATATTGACCATGTTTTTTCTCTCCTTTGTCTTACTATCTTCCCTCCCTTATGCCTCAAATTTGATTTCCCAAAGATGTTTTGACATATGTGGAGGCTTGAGCATAGCCAAGCTTTTTAAAGGTCTTGTAGCTGTTACCTTTGTGCTACAGAACACACAAAGGTATTTTTAATATTATTAATATTAAACTATTAATAATATTAATATTATTAATAACAGTTTCTCCTCAATGGTACATGAATCAGCCACAATTAAAATGACATTAAGGCTAAAACAAAAATGAAAAATTACATAACAGTGACTGTAAAATCCATTTGCACTGTGATACATTTATAAATGTAACCATAAAAGTAATACTAATGCAAGTATAGCATCCTACATCTACAGTATAATCTACAGTGTAATCTGACATTCTGGTAAGATTTTATTCCACATTTTTCTTTGTATGTTTAAAAAGAACCCTGTCTAAACTCTAGAGATAAATAAGTTAACAAACAGTATAAATTAATTATAAATTTTATTTTTTAAAAAATAAAGCTTGGATTCTTGAGATGAATAAAGAATATTATTTTATCAACCGTGTCTGCAGTAACAATTATTGAGTAAAATCAGAATTAATTGAAGAACTAATCCAAAGCATTGCAGAGTTCTAACATGTGTTTACGTGTGTATGAGTAGAGAGTAGTGATAGAGGCTGCTTGGGATATTCTTTCTGCTTTGCCCTCTATTTTGTAGATTTCTGGCTTGTACTGAGTATTGTGGTATTTTTGGTTATACCTTTATTTACTGATCCTCAGGACTCCTCAGTCAAAACCACCCATAAAAGTTTGTAGTCCCTATAGAGCACTAAATAGCTCTTATCAGCAAAGTGAAGGTGCAAAATAATCATTTCAGCCAAATTATCCTGGCACTTTTTCTAATACCAAGCTTCATTTTTGCCTTAACCAACTGTTGCCTGAGATGGATGTTTCACCTGCCTAATGTCCATGCTGGCCAAGCACTGAATGTGACTCTCCACACCTTTGTGGAATAAGTGGTCATAACTGTTGAGTCATTATAAAACTACCCGTTTATCTAGATATAATTTGTATATTGTTTTATAATTGAATTTTAATTATAAGAAATGTTTAAGTCTACTGAAGTTAAGACTTGCAGTAGAAGAAATACTGGAAAGTATATACACATGTATATGTCACCTGTGCTTGTTTTTTGTCACTGTCTCTGTGTTTCAGGTGATTTTTCTTCTCTGTGTGTGTCTATGTATTTGTGTTGGTATGTGTTTGTGTATGTTTCTCATATTATAGACAGTTGGAGATTGTGTTCTGTAAGATGCAGCATATAGATGCTTCTATTATTTATTTATTGCCTTACATCTTATATTATCAACAAAATTATCCAGGGTAAATCCAGACTAAAAAATATGGAATTCTGTTCCTGAGGGTCTCCCATTCATGTAAGGAGAGAGGTATTTTTTGCATATGGCTCCTTTTTCTTTTCATCTCCTCATGTTCCTGATAAGCTTTCCTAAATGATAGGCTTGCACAGGGTTGCAGGGGAAAGTGCATTTATTAAGATCATTATTCTCTTACTGCGTTCAGAGAATTTGGTAGATCAGAGGTGGGTTTTTTTTCCTCACACAAAAGAAATAAGCACTGGCTTGGATAGGATCAAAATAATGCCCTTCCCTCCCTTCCCCTCTCCTCCCCACTCCCCTGCCCCACTTCTCTTTTCCTCTGAATTAATCATAGCACCCTGTATTTCTTCTCTAATGATTTATAGTATCTTTTTGGCAAACATTGTTGAAATGATGTAAAGCCTGTCATCATTACTGCTATTCTAGCACAACAATGGCTGAGTGATACTCAATAAGCTATAAATCACTAGAAGGGAAATAGCCTCTGTCTTGGATACTTAATTCTTTCAATTTCATCATTTCTTCAATTCTGTTCACTTCAGCTAAAAAGAGAAAGATTTAAAGCTAAGGCTTTAAAAAAAAACCACCTCCCTATAGATAAGTGAAATGTTCGATTCAATGGAAAGAAAAAATGTTTTGGGGTCTAAGAAGATGAAATGCATGAAGATCTTGAAGTAACATTGCAACTTCATTGAAATGGTGTTTTAGTTATGTTTTGCGTTTGTGCTTCTTTTTAAAAAATATTTTACAGAAAGAGATTTAAACAAGAAGACAAAATTTTTGAATAACCATGGCAGAAAATCAGCATCAACATTTTGTTCCTATCTACTTTTTGTTTGTTTTAAAACATGCAGTAATGCTCAGTCATAAATGTCCTCAGCAATAGTTAGATGATAAAAATACATAATGCATTTTGCTCCTACATTATGTTTAAAAAATCATTTATGCTGCAGAATAAGTTTCTGGATAAAAAATATGATTGATTTGCAACCTAATCACCTATATATTTACTTGGAATAAAAGTCTATGTAACTGATTAATTTAATGTAAAACTGAAATATAAAGTGTGAAAGTTATGCAATCTGACCTTTACATGTTCTGTAAATCTGCATTTTATTAAATAGGTCCTGATGGAATATGTTTTAGTCATAAAGTTTCTTGTTTGGGAATCATGAGCTGTGTATATTAAGCAATTTCTATGTTATATCATAATTTAATGCAGGATGAGCATATGTGGCCTTCCGCATGTTGCTTTGCTCCTGAATATTTTCCTTCAGATAATATGAACAGGTCAACCCCAAGTAGCATGCAGGGTTTTGAGAAAAAGAATATATATGAACCGTAAATTCTGTGTTGATTAAAGTCTACACTGAAAAATCTACTCTAAAGCCTATTGTGTCAGATGTATGGCAAAAGTGATGATTGATATTATACTGCCATCTCAATTGTTTTCAATTTTAAGTTGCCATAGAGCCCTCTGGTATGAAAAATTACATAGCAAAGATGTTAGGAAAAGACTTCAATTTAAATGGTTGGGGTTTTTATTCAGGAAAAAGAAATGGAAAAGCAAAAACTCCTGTACCAGCAAGCAAGACTCCATGATCGAGGGGCTGCTGAAATGGTCCTGCAGACAATTAGTGCCAGCAAAGGTAAGTTAACCTTATTTATTTTCTCCTAAGGACTTTTCTGCTGAGTTAACATTTCCCAGTGGAGAATTTCACTGCAGTGTACTGTACATAAAACGATTATGGAAAGATAGATGTTGTGTATCCTACTCAGGCTGCTGAAATTTTTACTCAGCTGCTGCTCATAAGCATTAAATGAACACATTGCTGGAATTATTGAAATTAATGCTAGCACTAGTTTTGCCCCAATGATTCAGTCCGGTGGTCCTTATCCACAAGCATGTGTGGTTGGACAGACTGAGCAGAAAATACTAAGTTGAAAAATATTTGTTTTAAAATTGGTGTCTAATGGATGAATACAGAGGATACTGAAAGTAAAATTTAGAAAAACAAGCTATTTGTAATATGCATACACATATAAATATACCTACATACACTCAAATGGACATATTTTAAGTCAACATTGTAATTGTTTTCTAAGAGAGAGCGTAGGCATATGTATATATACTATATATACTGTATATGTATATGTGTGTGTGTGTGTATAAATACATGTATAAATAAAATAATATTTGCTTTGCAGGTGAAATGGGACCAATGGTTGCAGCCACCCTCAAACTTGGGATTGCTATCTTGAATGGTGGAAATTCAACTGTTCAGCAGGTAACTTTTTTGACATTTAAAGTGAATTATTTCTTTCCATTGACTTTGGATTTTTGGATCTACATAATGCATATTTTGCTGGTGATTGAAACTGATTAATTCAGTAGTGGCCGATCTCTTTCTAAGAATCAGAATATTAGCTTTTAAAAAGATTTCTTGTCTTCCTTTTATGCTAAAATAGTCAGTGATCAGGGAAGATGATCTTTTCAGTTGTGATTCTGTAACTCTGGAATACTATCTCCAGAAAATTCTATCTGGCACCATTTTTATCAGATACCTTTTTGCATTCATCTTGAAGCCTACACTTCTCTTTTAAAAGCCTTAAGGCTTTAGTTTCAGTTTTTTAATGTATGTTGTTTTGCTGAGATTATACTGTATTTTTAAAATTGAATTGAATGCTTCTATTGTTATTACAGTGCTAGTTATTGTATTGAGGATTATTAAATGACCTCAGGACATTACTGTTATTGCTGCTGCTACCTCTAAAAGTGCTACACTTGCCAACTTGTTGAGGTTGTTGATCACAAGGCAACCAAAGTTTGCCCATGGATATAAACATGTAAGGGCAGAAGACTTTCAATCTGACTGGACCAATTTGCATCAAACTTAAAAATATCAAAATTAATGCCAGAAATGGGGAAAAGGCAATGCACAGGCAAAAGTAGTGAAGAAGCTAGCAAGAAGCAATTGTGGCATTAGTAAAACTGAGGTAGCAAGCAGAAAGGATGTAGAGAGAGACGTAGGGCCTCTTACATGCCTCCTTAAGAACTGGCAATATTACTGTCTACAACTATCTGGATTAAATTTTGAGTATGTTTTGTCAAAAAGCAAAAAAGAAACCTTTTAAAATAAAACAAAACCATATTTTATTTTAGAAAATGCTTGACTATCTCAAGGACAAAAAAGACGTAGGCTTCTTTCAGAGCCTTGCTGGTCTTATGCAGTCTTGCAGGTAGGAGAAAAAAATAATACGCTTTCAAACCCTATATTATATATTATCATGAACTACCCGGAGCAAGTAAGAAATGGAGTAGCATAAAAAGTTTTGTAATGAATAATTGAATGAATGAATAAGCAAAAAATTGAACAAATATTTCAATACAAACTGATTTTCCTGGGTATGTTGTCTTATGCTGAGTAGGTTCGAATGCCTAGGGAAATCCTTCTATTAGTTTGAAAAGTAAAGCAAAAGAAAAGTGAACAAGCTACAGTACAAAGAGTTGAACAAAAAGTAATATGCCCAATGACTTTTAGAATCACAGGATATCAATAGGGGTCAATGATTTTTTAAAATACAGGCTTGTCTTATTTTCTAAGATGTAATAGTCTGGTGGATGGAATTAGTGTCGGAATATAGATGCCAAAATAGTGGCTGTGGGGAAATCCCTGCAATGCAAAGTGTAGATTAAAAGATATTTTTTTCTTTTCAGCTTCTCAGAAACACTCTTATGTATATTTAATAATATATTATTCATTACTTTAATGTCCTGCAGCACACTCATTTCTTTAATGTTTTTATGATAAACAGTCCAAAGGTTGAGATGGGGAGGTAGAGATTTCACATTTAGATTTTCATTTCATTTAGATTTCTCTAAGTGTATTTATTTGTTTATTTTTAAAAAATAGATAACCTCCAAACTTGAAAAATATGACATACAAAAATAACAGTTAACCAAAAAAATCCCATCAATCAACAGTACATTCAATAATAGATGCATATTCCCATTGTTAAGTGAAGATATTTTTTATAATTGTGTCTAGCTAGTTTATTGCTATGATGTTGCAGGTAGACTATTATATTTTGCTCCCAGTGGCACATCACATTGGTAGTTATAACTGTACAGTTGAAGCTGCCCTTTTATGTGTTTACTTATAGAAGGTTGATGCAGTGGCTCAGTGGCTAAGACTGGACTTGTTGGCTAGAAAGCTGGCAGCCCAGGTTTGAGACCTGAGCACCACGTGGCGGGGTGAGCTACCGTCTCTGCCCAGCACCTGCCAACCCAGCAGTTCGAAAGCATGCAAATGCCAGTAGGTAAATAGATACCACTGCAGTGGGAAGGTAATAGTGCTCAGTGATGTCATGCTGGCCACATGATTGCAGAACTATCTTTGGACAGTGCTGGCTCTATGACCTTGAAATTGAGATGAGCACCCCCTATAGTTGGTTAGCGAAGTAAAATTTGCAGGGACTCCTTTTATAGATGGTGGAGTACCAGCATTACTTCTTTTTACACACTCCGACACTTGTATTATTTATACTAAGAAAAGTCTGGGCAATTTGCTTATTGAAGCCTGCAAAGGGACCAGTGTGTGCCTGAAGGTAGGAAATGCAGCTGAGTCTTTGGTTTGTTTATGAGAACTAATTCTATATCAAAAACGTCCTCCGTGTACAATGTCAGAAAAAGACTATTTCTAAAAGAGGTTTTGTTTACTTTAAACATGACCTATGAAGATTTGAATCTTAAATATTTTCTTAAAGGTGAAGTTCCTGTCTTTACCTTTAAGAAAAAGAAAGTGGTGTTACTCCCCTTTGCTGAGCCAAATAAATTTTTCTGCCATACAGTGAAATGCATTCACATTTTACTTGTATTAACTCAGTTACATAAAGCGTAAATGCACAGAAATGTCTTGCTTACATCTTTCAGCAAAATTGAATGTTTGTGGTTAAAACTACAGTTTATGTTTCATTATAGTGTTCTTGACCTAAATGCTTTCGAACGTCAGAATAAAGCAGAAGGCCTTGGAATGGTAACAGAAGAAGGATCAGGTACAGTTTTCTTTACCAAAAGTTTGTTGCTTGGCCCCTTTAAAGTTACTAAATAAAAATAATGATAGCTTTAGTTTATCTTTATTTGTGACTAGACAACCCATGATCATTATTTCAGAGACTTTTCCTTACTAGATTACTCAGTATCCTCTAATATACCTGAGTTCTTTAAAAGTTCTTTAAGATTCAGGGTTTTATTCAGAAACTATCTGCCTTGAAAGTAGCTCATATTGAACTGTATAGCACAGTCAAACATAGGGAGTTGAGCTCAGGAAATATTTTATGACAGTTTTGTATTATGTCAAAAAATGCTTTATGATATTTTTATGTTATAGGTCCCAGATTTGGTCACATTCTGTATGTTGGCTCAATTTAGTTATCTTGGTTGAAAAGGTTTGGCCCTATAATGCAGCATTTTGCCCAATTAAACATTACAGACATGAAAATTTGATATTATATCAATTAGACAACCCATGACCTGTTAGTCATCATTTCAGAGATATTTCCCTATCTAAACAGAAGCAGAATGACCAAGGACAAAAAACAGTGGCCAGATTTCCGACTTCCTGCTGGCTTGACAGTGGCTAACCACTCTCTAGTAGCAAATGGTGGGACTGGAAAATCCAGGTTCCAGGATGTAGGCCAGGAGGGCTAGAATGGGACCAGTCTATTGAATCTCTGGGTGACAGCATAACAGCATTGAAGTGAGCACAACATGCCAAATTTCAATCCCATGGCAGGCGTGGGGCCTGGATTCATTGTATTCATTCTGTAAATTAGCCCATTTGAGGTAACTTGATGCAAAAATTGTTGCCCTATGATGCATTGTTTCACCCAGTTAAAGGTCACAAACACAACATTCTAGTAGTGTTTCAATTATAATAGATTATAGGCCAATTGTCAGCAGAACATCCAGTCCATAATAAGAAATATCACAGGCAGAAAATTTTTTTTAAAAGTTTTCAAAAAAATCAAATTTCATAAGAATCTGTGACAACTTGTTAGCCTTCCACATGACATGAAAGGAATTGGCCACTTCTGCAATGTGTCTGCAGGCGCATTGGCCAAAATAAAATGAGTTTTCCCTACACCAGATTAACTTGGATCGTTTAACAACAGAAGGTTATTAAGTCTGAGCACCTTGAAGTGTAAAATGTGTAGCGCAGTAAGCAAATTTCATATCCCCCAACTGGCAGAAAGATAATCTCTCTTGGACTGAAATATCTCTCTTTTACTAGCATAGGTGACACAATATTAAATCTTGCTACTGTGTGGCATATATGAGACAATGATTGTATATAAATTGTCTTCCTCCCAGGTAATCTCGATAGGCAGGACAGCCACAACTGATTACACACACTTTGGTGGCTGAAGTTTGAATCCTATTTATTATTTTATTGGATTTGTTAAGCCCACTTCACTCCAAAAAGACTCTGAATGCGAAACAATAAGTTGATAAAGTATAACCTGCTTATCATTTTGCACTGGTCTGAGATTATTTTAATCAATGGAAAACTTGTGACATGAATATTCTATTCTGAAATAAAATTACATATCCCAGAAAGAAATTCTCTATGAAATTTTTTTGCTTGAAAGTGATTTAAATGCTGTTTTTAAACTTTCCTTAAAACTGAGAAAACTGGTGGCATTCTAAATGTTGCAGGACAGCAAATCTTGGAATTCTTTAGCCATGCTTCATGGGCTAGTAGACATAGGTTCAGCAACATCTGGAGAACCACCAATTCTTTCTTCCTTATTTTTTTTAAAAAAAGGTATCAGAACTTTTGATTTTGAACCAGTTCACCTTTTCTACTTTTGATCAGCTTTTCCACTGTTATTATTTTGTTGTATAAATCTGTTGTTTCCATCTAGAATCATTTGTGTATTTTCTACTAGTTGTTTGTTTGTTTGTTTATTAAATTTACCCATCTCGTATGAAAGCAACTCTGGGCAGCTTATAGCAGTAAAACCTCTGTTCTTTATCTTCATTCCAAATGGAATTTCTTCTATTATATACTTAAGCAAATCCTTTCATGTTTAAGTCGTCAAAATAAGAGGAAAAACTAAACTATTTACTATTCTGTTAGGCAAGTTAATATATTTTAGCAATTTCCCTGCAATCATTTCCAACTTCTTTTGATTAGCCTTGGTGTTTACATCAAGTTAAAAGAAGGTAAACCTTTAAAGATTTTTAAAGCGTCAAGTTATTGATTTTGTGCACTTTTGTCCTTAATTATAGTCCAGTATTTATTTTAGCATTTTTTAAAAATGATCTTACTGGAAGTTAGCTGATATCAGTAAATTTTGGTATTCCAGTTTGCTTCATTTGGTTGGTTATCAAAAACTTGATAATCAAATAAATGGTTTTCAAGAATGGAATTTTTTTTTTCGCTTATATTTTTCTATAGCTGTTCATAGTAAGGTTTTCTTTGAAGTTCATTTTCTTTTGGAACCTGGGCATATGTTATAAAAGAATACAACATGCATCTCTCTCTTTTTCCTTTCTCTCTCTTTCTCTGTTGAATTAATATTCTGATATCAAAATATTTTTATTTTCTCTTTACATTTTTATGTATTTACCTAAATTGGACTTTTGACTTGATTCATGGAGAATTAAGTTATCAGAAGCAATGCTAAATCTATTTTTTTTTAACTCTGAAACAAGTTCTCACTTTTTTCTTTTTTTCCCATTTTCTTTTCTTTGTCCTGTCCTGTCTTCCCCTACCTCAGTCATCACTCATGAGCGTGGTAATTATTACACATCAATTGACTTTCTTTTTTTCTGTTGTAAGCTTCGTGTCAGCACTGTACAGCTCCTGAACACCATGCAGCATGCAGTTTGTTTTTATTTTTAGAATGTCAAAGTAGGATTATTATTACTATTATTATTATTATTATCATGGTTGTATTCTCCAAAGTTCCATTTGTATGCCAACTTTCCCCACATCTTTGTTTTTTCCTCCCTTTCTCAGGATATGCACAGTATCTGGCACACTAGATGTAAGAGCAGCAAGCTTTTTGATTTTCTTCTTTTTTTTCTGCTTCATTTGGTGGTGTTATTTTCTTAGTGGGCCAAGTATTTGTGATGGTTGGTTGTAAATAAAATGTGTGCATATGACATTAAAATCCACTATGTGCTGTGGTCTTCCTGTAGCATTTCTGTTGTGTATTTAATGTGGCTTTATGGCTGCATTAGTTTGTGCAAACATAGGAAATCAGGGGAGGATCCAGTCTTGACTTTGATGGTGTGGGAGAGGGGATATTTTGTGATTTAAAAAGTTATATTTTCACTGTAAACATTAACAGAATTAATGCATGATAGCCAGTTGTAATTGTCTTGATGAAACTCTTTTTCAACATGTCTTGGTGTTTGTGAGAATCTGTTCTGTAAGGGAAACTTCAAAATATAACTCAATTATCCCTTGTTCTTATAAAAAATCTCCATTTAGGTAAAACAAGTTTCAGTAGCAAAGCTAAAGCCCTAACCAAAACTGAACACTGTGGAGATGAAGATTAAAATTTTGAAATATAATTGATTTCAGTTAGAGAGTTCATTATAATGCTACATTTGACTGGTTGAAAAAAAAAATCCATTAAGTTTAAAGTGTTATTTAAACTTTAAAATTCTTCAGTCAACTGTCTATAAAACAAATAGCCTATGAAATTAAAAATGCTTAATTCTCAGCAAAAAATCATTCATTTTCAGCTGTTTTTCAACTATAATTTATAATATTATAAATCATGAATAATTGTAAGATACAAAGAATTACATTATTTAAAAAGAGTAACTAGATAGCCAATTTGCTGTATGGTTAAAGCATTGCAGAAGGCACTGAAAGACTGAATTCTGTTCCCACTTTAAATTTGAAGGCAGCTGGATGACATTAGGCCAGTTATTCTCCCTCAGCCTTAAGAAGGTAGCAATGGCAATCCAGCCAAGAAAACTGCAGGGATTAGTCAGAAAGTTGCTGGGAGTCAACACTGACTTGAATGGGTGTGACTGTGTATGTGCACACACATACACAGACTCACACACAATATTTTCAACTGAAAAGTACAATTTTCAAATACATAATGATTTTTGCACGAATAGTTTTCCTCATTGCTTTAAGTGCTTCAATATTGGAAAGAGGATATGGGATGCATATACAGGAATATTATCATGTATTGGGTGATAATTATGGTAGTGCTTCCTAAACAATTTCATTCATTATCCAAAACTGTTATCAGAAATTACTTTTTACCCAATGTAGATAAAATATTTTAAATGAACTTAAAATGCCACCCCTATGATTGGGCAATCAGTTTATGTGTTACCAAAGAAAAACTACTTGTACCCTATTTGGGGTAATTTCCTATTTGGGGTATTTCCAGGTTTGGAAAGCACTGATTAATGGGGTCCAGTAATAATGAACTTACTGGTTTGTAGAAGAGATCAAAGGCAAACGAGTAAGGGATACGAAGTTCAGTTTAGTCCATTGGACTGCTTCCTCCCCTCATACAGGGCCATTAATTTCAACTGTTCCATGGCAATGATTCTTGAACTGTGACAGAAAAAGAGAGGGAGAGAGGGAAAAGAATAAGTTTACTTTTGCTCTGATTATTATTTCTAGTATTAATAGTTGACATTTTTTTGTAAACCACCCTGGTAGGATCTGAAAGGTGGGTGATCAGTAACAATAATAATAATTGCCACCAGGTAAATCATTGGTTAATTGCAAAATGCTCAAAACCTTTCTTAAAATGGAAACGATAAATCCTAGACATGCCTTTTTAGAGAGATATTTTAAACAACTAAGCAATGGAGTAGAATATATTTTACTGGTTTTTGGAAGGGATAATACCTTGTTTGTTTAAAACTGTGGATTTTTTTCCTTCTAGGTGATAAAATATGTATTTCAGACAATCTTAAATATAGGCCTTGTAACTAGTTCAAGATTTATTTATTATCGGTTGTACCCTTTTTTATTGTTCACTGTACCAACAATCTCTTTATTCTGATCCTCACTCACTGTTACCAAGCTTCATGTTCTTAATGCTGGACCTCCCACTGGTAAAACATTGACAGTTCTTTACCAGATATGTATCTGATTTGTTTTTGTGACGTATTAAATGTTGCGTTTTTATGTGTAATGTTTTACTTGTTATGGTTATTAATGGAAAAAGGTTCAAAAACAAAGGTCTAAATTGATTTACATTAATTTCTTACATTTTCATTTCTTCCTTACAATTTAAATAATGTTTTCATAGACCATGATACACTTGAAAGTGCATTTTTTCCTCTCCTTTTAGTTTAAAAGTTATCTTTCTGATGTTTTCTTTCTTTGTTTTACATAATCTAAATTATACTGACCTCAAAGATACCAAAGATAAAGTTTTAAATGTTGACTATAACATAACTTGAAATGACTCATAATTTTAATTAATTATATAATTAATTAATGCACAAAAAAAATTGACTCATAAAATAGACTACACATTCAGGTGGAGTTGCTTATTTGTTGTTATTTCAGCCTAAGCTGGAAAGAGCCAGTTTGACTCAATATTGCTTTCTACTATTAGCCTCTCCCATTCCTTGAAAGGATGGCTTAGTCCCAGAGGATCAATGATATCCCAAGGAGATGCCATGTAAGAAATATTCTGTCACCACTCAATTATTGACAGTGGATTCCCACAACATTATGCACTGTTTAGAATATGAATATGACACATTCTGATCTAGCTGCTATTGGAAAAACACTAAAATAAAGACAAATTGAGTGATAAGATATATTTGTTAGTAATTCTTTCACTAATTATATATAATATGAAATGTGCATATGATTAACAGTTTTTAATTATTTATAATTGTAAGTAAGTAGGTGTTTAAAACAAAAGTAAGGAACAACTTGAAAAAAATAATCAACAGTATAGAAGAAAATGGTTAGGATGGAATGGCTTTTGGTATACATTCTGTAACCAGAATCTGCGTAACAAAATAAATGGTCAGAAATATTTCCAGGGAATTCATTTTGCCTTAGAAAGGAGAGATAATTAATAAACTGCCATTTAAGCACTTTCAAGAACTGCAACACCTACCACACCCATCTTTTTTTTCTACCGCACATTACTTTTTAAAAATATATTCCCATCTGAAATGGTCCATGACAGAAACAAACATCTGTATGTGTAATAATGCCATTGAATAGTAGCATGGGCACAGGCAATATTTTAACTAAACTGCAATGTGTTAAAAAGTTTTTACTTTACTTACTTTTACTTAAGATTTTTTTCTGAATATATAGCTATTACCACTGAACACCACACGATACACAAGAATATGGGTTTTTTTTTTACATAGGCCAACCTGTTTATTTATTTGTTTATTAAGTAAATATTTAGGCCCTCCGTCTCATTGATATGACTCTGGACAGTTTACAATGAAGAATAAAAATCTCTCCTTTTAATGAGACTGTAATTTGGGGTAGAATCAGGGCAACTGGATGGTGCCGAGCATTTACTGGCCAGATACCCTTCCTGATGCCATGAAGAGTTTGCAGCAGATAGTTTTTCTTTGCGCTCTAGAAGAGAAACATCTGCTCCTATCTAGGATTGAACTCTCAACCTTCCAAGTGGGAAGTGAGTGTCTTTACCACTAGGCCACCATGCCACTCAATTAAAGAGAGGTGATTTTTTTAAATGTTATTTTTGTTTTTAATTCTGGTTGCTTTTTGTTTTTATTCTTTAATTAGAGAAGACTAATTAAAGAATAAAAAACAAAAATAACATAAAAATAGCAGTTGAGAAGACTCACAGATGCTCAGGCAAGCCATGGCATATCTTTACTCATGCTATCAGGGCTCCAAGCTCAATGACAAAGCCTAGCATTGTTGGAGGAAGTCTGATTCCTTGGAGAATGATGTTCTAGAGTAGGGCTGTCAAATTCAAGGCCCAGGGGTTGGATCCGGCCTGCAGGGCTGCCTAGAGACAGCGAAGGACTGGGCCAAAGTGCCTCTGCCAACAAAAATGGAGCTCAAGAGGACTGCACACAGCCCTCGTGAGCTCCATTTTTTTCTGGCAGAGGGTTGCAGGAAGCCATCCCACTTGAAAACTGAGCTTATGAGGGCTGCATGTAGCCCCCTCGAGCTCAGTTTTCACTGGCAGAAGGTTGCAGGAAGCCGTCTCAGCTAAAAATGGAGGTTGGGACCCAGTTTTCTCTAGCAAAGGTACCCCCCAATGCGAGTGATGTCATTCTGGCCATGCCCACCCTGGCCCCCCAAGGTCAAACAACCCTGATGCGACCCTCAATGAATCGAGTTTGACATCCCTGTTCCAGAGGGTGGGTGCCACGGCAAAAAGGGTGGATGCCTCTTCTGCAGATGTAACAGAATGGGTAGACACCATTGGGGAGATACTGTATGGTCCTTACATAACCCAGCCCCAAGCCATGAAGGGCTTTAATGGTCTTCTCTGCACCTTAAATTGTGCAGAGAAAGATAGTAATAGCCATTGCAGCTTATGGAGTAGAAGTGTCACATGTAGTGAACAACCAGCACCTGTAACTGCTTGTGCTGCCATATTTTGTACAGCTGAAGTTTCTGAATACTCTTCAAGGGCAGCTTCATGTAGAATTGGTTTCAGTAACCCATTCAGGAGATGACTAAAGCATGACTATTAGCACTCTATCCTTTTTGAAATAGAAAACAGGCAATCCTAAAGAATTCAGTATTCAGTTACATTATTTTTCATGAATAGGAACTTAATATTAGAGATATATCACTTTATTTCATTGGCTTCAGTAACTGTATCCTGAATAAGTATTTTAGAACTTAGCAAATTTTCAATAAGGTTAATTTAGTTCGATTACAATAGCTCTTGCTTATTCTAGTATCTATCTGTAGATTACATCCTCATTTAAGTAACCCATTTCACCTGCATCTAAATATCAAGTTCCCAATATTACATGTTCACAAATTCAAAATTCAAATGAGAGATAATTTCTAAAATGTTGCCAAGCCCACGCTGCTACATTTTTGGGAGATACATTTTCAAATTTTACTTTTTTTCTCATAATGAATGACAATACCTACTTCCAAACAAGAACACTATGGAACTGATTCTGGGGAAATGTTACAAGATACAATTATGTCTATAATTTTTAAAGCAACAAGTGCTACATGTGATGTTCTAACGTTACTTGGCAACTTTTCATGATACTTATTGGGATTGACTTTTCCACAGGGGAAAAGGTGATGCAGGATGATGAATTTACCTGTGACCTCTTCCGGTTCCTTCAATTGCTTTGTGAAGGTCATAATTCAGGTTTGTTCTCCACTTCTCGTATTGCATCCAATGCTCTAAAATACCAAAGTAATGAAGGAAGCTTAATTTTGTAAACCAAATAAGTTTGGTAGATATAATTAATATATTGAAAAAGTTAAATACATACAAGGAAGCATGTTATGATACGGATAATTTTCAGGAAGTTCGAGATTAGGACAAATGTTAACTCCATCTCATTTTATTCTCCAAGGTTTTCAGAATTACTTGAGAACTCAGACTGGTAATAATACAACTGTCAACATTATCATATCAACTGTGGATTATTTATTGAGAGTTCAGGTAAAATATCACTCACTGTAGGGTTTCACTAAAGTTTAAGTTATTTTTGCAATAATCAAAATAAATGTATGGGTATTAATTAGTAGCTTTGAAGCTTTAATTCAGAGAAATTTATTCAGTTTCACATTTTAATTAGTAATACTCAAACTTATGGGAACTGGAGAATAGTTTTACAATACATAAGGATTCACATTTTTCTAATTTTTCTAAGTGAATTTGCCTCTACAAAACATAAATACACATATTAGGATAACTGTACATAAATATGATTTAAATTTTTCATTAAAATTATTCCTTAACAATCCAAATTTGAAATTGGATCAAAAAAGTAGAAAAAGAAAGAGAAACTATTTATCTCCCAGTATGCACGCATGCATACACACACACACACACACACTTAACACTATCATTATATTTTGCTAATTTGTAACACTGTTATGTATATTTTTCCACATTGGAATATTTTTATATCAAAGCAAGATTGATAATGCCTACCTACTCTCCTTTATCCTTCTAAAATATACTAGAAATATAGGAACAAGAAAGCAGTAAAAGAAAAAAAAGGTTTAATTGCTCTAGGTACACGAGTGACCCTCTTTGTGAAATTCTTTCCAACAGTCATCCAGTCTCCTCCCATGTTTGTACAAAATTTTCATAACCATTAGTTCCCATCCTCCCTTACCCTTTTTTGCTTTCTATGTTCTCCTACATACACCAGATAAGGAAAGAATGTAACAGCAGGAAATTCAACTGAAAGTTGAAGTTTCAACCAGATTTTCATGATTCCTATATGCAAAGATTCATGTGGACCTTATTTGAATTTCTAAGCTGATGGGATCTTTACAGAGGATATTTTTGTAATATTAATCTGTCTCAGGGTTTTGAAGAATTTAGGAACAATTTGTTTCTTTAACTAATTTGCCAGATGCATATTTTTTGAATAAATAGTGAGGCCATATGCTTTATCTTTTTCTTCTTCCATTTTTAGGAATCAATTAGTGATTTCTATTGGTATTATTCTGGAAAGGAAGTTATCGATGAACAAGGACAACGTAATTTCTCTAAAGCTATTCAAGTTGCAAAGCAGGTGTTCAATACTCTTACAGAATATATTCAGGTAAATAAATTGTTTTCCATCTCATTTCATGACCCTCTCATGGATCTTTAAAAGAATCTAATAAATAAATTGGGTATAACATGTTTATCAACAAATGAAGAGGAGCAGGCTCTGGTATGCAAGTGGTGACCTCTTAATTTCCACAAAGTGAGCAATATGAAAATAGTCTGTAATTAAAATGCACCAAAGAACATGTATACCACTAAACAGTTTGAAGTAATTCTACCAGGCAGATAACTCATTGAAATTACTTAAGTGTGCTAATTAAGTAACTTAAGTGAGTTACCTAGCTGCTAGAATTTCTTCAAATTATTAAGTAGTATACATCTTCTTTGGTTAAGCTCTCAGATTAGAGAGAGAGAGATCTGTTATCTTATGTCAGTCATTCATACTAACATTCTGTGTGTACCATCCTAGAATGTCCATTTGCATTACATATTCCTATGGTTTTGTGCATTAGTCCACCAGGAAGCAGACTACAACTGCTTTCGTCCTTATAGGGACTCAACAGGTACACACAGCCATTAAAATTAATACTGAATTTTTAGGCCATTGGGTTTTATACAATTTAATTATATAGAGTTCCATTCCTGGTAGAGGGTTTCAACTTCCAAATATCTAAAACTAATTATAAAGGCTATACGGACATGATGAATAGCGTAAGGACAAAACCAATTTGTCCCTCTGGTGCTTAAATCTTTAAAAATCAAAGAGGATTATGACTTTTTATTTTATTAATATTTACGCTGTATATTCGTGTGTGTGTGTATGTGTACTTTATGACATTCTTTAATGTAGTGCTTATTTCTGACTCTAGATATAAATGGACAAATACATCTGTATACTTCACATGCAAATGAACCTATCTGTATAATATAATGGCTTTTTATTTGGTTGGGTAAATGCCAAATTGTTGAGGTGATTGGAAAGGCTGACTTTCACAGAATATCCGTACGGCCTTGATTTGAATTTAGAAATACATACCGTAATCAATGAAAAACAACTTTTGTGTAAATGTTGTATAAGCTGTTATTATTTGGCTCAATTGCTGCTTTGTAATAACAGTTCACTGGCAGAAGATAAATTTACATTAGATTCATATTCACAATAATAATTCATTACATTGATATTCCACCTGGTTCCTAGTGACTTTTCTGTTGTATACTCTTTATTCTTTGAGATTATCATGTCTTTTTTCAGGGTCCATGTACAGGTAATCAACAGAGTCTTGCACACAGCAGACTTTGGGATGCTGTGGTTGGTTTTCTTCATGTCTTTGCCCACATGCAGATGAAGCTTTCTCAGGTACAGAATGATTTTTAATGCAATTGGTTACTGCTGTTTAATTAAAGAAAATGTAATGAATGTTCAGTTAATTGCCTCTCAGTAACATTATAACACCAAGAAATAGTACTCATTTGGAGCTGATTGTTAAAACAGATTCAGCAACTGGATTGTATTATGCTGAGGGTAATGAAATTTCATTTATACCAAAGGAGAAGAACAAATAGTTCAGTACTTGTTTCTAGTAGGGACAGTGCTTAAAAAAATAACAGAAATAAAGAATAATACAGATGGAAGGGAGCTTGAAGGTCTTCTAGTCCAACCCCCTGCACAACCAGGAGACCCTATATCATTCCATACAAGTGGCTGCCCAGTCTCTTCTTAAAAACCTCTAGTTCTGGAGCACCCACAATTTCTGGAGGCAAGCCACTCCATTGGTTAATTGTTCTCACTGTTAGGAAATTTCTCCTGAATTCTACTGTAGGATGTTAGATGTTAGTGAGAGAAATATGTAGCCTGACGACTTCCAGTTTGAGGTTCAGCGACAGACCGAAACCTTGTCTCTGTGAGACTTCGATCTGTGCTCGCCGCTGGAGCGCCCCGAGCCAGCTGGTTTCGGGGCTAAGCCACCCTGTAGAGGTGGTGAAGAGGGGGGAGGCTGCCTGCAGGGTTGAGGAGAGCCGCATCTCCCTTTCCCAAAGGTTGTAGCGGTGGTCAGAAATGGCCACCACAAAGAACTCGACCGGAAAAGAATGTGCAGGAGGAAGATAAGAAGAGAAAGTTTTGGTTGACAGGTCAAACAGCAAAAGCAACAAATAAGGTACCCTGGAATTGAAACTATTAAAAAAAAACCAATAACATTGTTCTCTAAGAAGATTTTTAAGCTGCGAAGGAGAGAGAAAAGGGAAAAGATTTGGTTTTTTTTTCTTCTCCTTTTCCTATACTGACAGCTAAGAGACTTAAGCAAGAAATTGGAAAAAAATCCACTTTGACATTAATAGGCATTTAATGCTGAAAGTTTTTGAAAACAGGAAAGGAGAGAAAAAGAATAAAAGGGCAGGATCTGGAAGGGAGGTGACTGCCTGGAATTAAAAAGAATTTACAGCAAAATCTCAACAAGACTTCCAAAAGATACATTCTAACTGAAATATCGCAACAAAAACCCCAGGAAGAGAAAGTGGAAAAAGAAATAAGAAGATATAACTTGGGACTTTTTGGATTACTTGATGATTTCTGGATTTTTGGTTATTGTATTTGAATGACTAAAATCAATCAGGTGGTTGTTTAAAACTGTTTAAAATGGGTCCACTTTTAGAAGAACTGAAAATGGAACTTAAAAAGTACAAAGAAGATGCACAAGAAGGGAGAGGTTCTTTTGGCTTCGTATTTCAGTTTTTAGAAATGGAGATTTGGAATTATGAGAAACAACAAGAAATGCCTGCAGAACAAGAAGATTGCGACAAAGAGACAGCCATCTTTAATGAACAAGTAATCTTAGGTGGGGGAAAAAAAGGAAAGGGGGGAAAGAGAATGGAAAGTTTAAGATTGGGAAAAACAACTCCCCCCCCCAAAAAATAGAGTGAAAAATAAGTATAAAATCAGAAAGCAACAGAAGAGGGAAATTCAGAAGAGAGAATTAGAAGTAGAGAGATAAGGGGGTAAAAAGGGGAGGGAGAAGATGAGAGGGAAGAAAGAAAGGAAAAGAAGTTATAAAGGACAGAAACAAAATATAGAGAAACAGGGCCTATTTAGAGATAATGGGTGAAAACTTAATGGAAAAAGGGATTCTGCAAAGGTACATAAGATAGTATTGTTATATTAGAAACAGAAATAATTTTAGAAAATATGAAACAATATGATTAAAATGTTTGATAAAATAGCTATCGTAATTCAGTGGAACGCTTGTCAATAAATAAATGTAACAAAATGAATATTTAATGATTTATAAAACATATATGAAGAGAAATAAGGGAAAAATTAATTATGGAGATTATATGTGTCTTTAAGGAAGTATGATATTTAATTGAAAAGAAGTGTTAAAGATGTTAAGATTTTAATGATTATTAATGATAGAACTGAATTGGAATGGAATGAGGGTTTATAATTACATATATTTATAATCCTTTTTTAAAAGAATATAGTGTGTATTATAAGAATGTACCAAGCAGAATTCGATTGGAAGTTATGTATTATGTATTATATTGAAGGTCATAATCTTAAGGTATATATTGAAGTTTAAATAAGAGTTGAATGGATGTAATTAAAAGATATAAAGGTGTCATACTCCAATTAGTAACTACAGGAGAAAATCTGTTTAATGAGAAAAGATAATATAAAATTGAAACAGAACAGACAAAAGTATAAATATAATGATTTGAATTGAGATGAGATAATCAAAATAAAATAGAGAAAATTAAAAGAGGGGAAAAACTATAAAGAAAATGTAGAATAGTATAAGATATGGAATAGAACACAAAAAGGAGCATGAAATTGAGTTTTGTGTCTGTATAAAGAAGTTCAACCCAGGACCATGCTATTTTCAAAAAAGATGTTTACCTTGTATTTTGTGTGTGAAAACCCAAATAAAACTTTATTAAAAAATAACTGCAGAACTATAAAAATTAGAACCCCTGGAAGGATTCAGAAAGTGGCTAAGATAGGCTTTATTGAGTTAAAGCTGGTAGACTTCTTGATATTTGTCACTTTTTTGAGAATGATTATTGTTGTCTTGGTGATTATGTAGAGTCTTTGAAAAAATTAATGTAAATAATTTCACATGAATTATTTCTAAAGGAGGGTTTGAACATTCCTGTCCTTTTCTTATAAGTTATGACAAGGCAGGAATAAGATTTTATCTCCTTGCAGCATAAAAAAGACTTCTGGGAATCTTACATTTATTTTGACAGGATTCTAGTCAAATTGAATTACTGAAAGAGTTAATGGACCTTCAGAAAGATATGGTGGTCATGCTGCTGTCTATGTTGGAAGGTACCTTTCAAATTATAATTTTAAACACATTTTATTAAAGTATTTTTCAAATTGCACCTAGGAGTGTTTCTTCCTAGTGTAAAATATATCTTAAAAATCCACGTTTATTAGGATCACAAAAGGGAAGAAAGAGGTTACACCTTCCTGGCTGCTGTAGTGTCAATGAATGAAATGCAAATGCATGATTAATATCAGCAAGTTGGCTGAGAGAGTATGCAGCCTGCCAATTTGTATAAATTACTGTGGAAAAATTCCAACTCTGGTAATCGATTAAAATGTTAACATTTTCTGATTTCAGTGAGGTACATAAAAATGAAATACATTTACATTCAATGAAACACATTCTAATCTTTCTAGAGATAATTAAGGGTGGGGAAAGATGTTAAATACTGTGAAACTATTCTTCTCTGGCAGACAGATATATTTGCAAAATAATAGTATGGCAATCCCTAGTACTGTGTAATCAGATGTATAGTGTGCATACTGTTGTAACCTTAGTACTGTACTCAGAAGGGAATTGGGTTATATCTAAGCAGTTGTTCTCCTGGTGTTAGGTTATAAAGTAAAGTACTCAGGAATGTGCTGATCACAATTTTGGATCCCCCTAATTTATCATGCTTTTGATTCTCCAGCGGGCTACCAGTTTAGGCCCTTTACTAATGCTGATCTTAAGTGATCAAATTAAGTTTTCCTTCATTTCAGATGGGAAAAGCTTTCTTTAAAAGGCTTTTCTTGGGATAAAGGAATAGTGATACTTGTATTCATAAAAGCTTATTTCTAATTGTAATCTTTGTACCATATACAATGCCTGAAATCTTCAGTCTTCCCCAAGGCGTAATTCTCTTAATCAGCCAAAAAATTGGAACTGGCTAGTTTAGTTGGTGAGTATACACATGGATAAGTGTCCACACAAATCCAAGTGTCCACTTGCCTTTTTTTGGAACTGTGCTTCCTCAATCTATAAAACTTACAATGAGCATAAACAAGGAATTCCAATTCCTTGGAACAGATACTGAGTAAGTTGATAGAAGCATGATAAACTTTTCCCTTTCCTATGCATCTTCTTTGTGAGGATATGTTTGTATAAAGATATAACCACAAAGGTTGTACAGAGAGATGGGTCTCTAATTGATTCTCAGCATTTGGGTTCTACTGACCACTAGCTGTGACCACTTCCACTCACCAACAGCTCCTGATAGCCCCTCAACCGTGATGTGCATTGTGTAATTTAGAGCAGGGAAATTAGAGCATAAGTAATTGAAATATAATGCAATTATAAAATACTTTGTCTTTTAAGCTTGAAATAAAAATACAGGCTGTAGTTTTTGGTCAGTTCTAAATATTGACTAAATATTATGTATAAATACAGTATTGTTGTCCTCAGATTTGTAGTATAGTTTCAATGTTTATAATATTTCTTTGTATTACTTTGACAATTTAAAGTAACTCAGTCAGTCAGTAAAATTATTGATGCACTTTCCCATGTTCAGGTAATGTTGTGAATGGAACAATCGGCAAGCAGATGGTTGACATGCTGGTGGAATCGTTCAACAATGTAGAAATGATTCTAAAGTTTTTTGATATATTTCTAAAACTGAAGGATTTAACTTTCTCTGACGCATTCAAAGAATATGATCCGGATGGTAAAGGTATTATTTCCAAGAGAGATTTCCATAAAGCGATGGAGAGCCACAAACATTATACTCAATCAGAAACTGAGTTTCTGCTCTCCTGTGCTGAAACAGATGAGAATGAAACTTTGGACTATGAGGAATTTGTGAAACGGTTTCATGAGCCAGCTAAGGACATTGGCTTCAACGTTGCTGTTTTGCTGACCAACTTGTCAGAGCACATGCCCCATGATACGCGACTGCAAACTTTCCTTGAATTGGCAGATAGTGTTCTAAACTACTTTCAGCCCTTTTTAGGACGCATAGAAATAATGGGCAGCGCAAAGCGCATTGAACGAGTTTACTTTGAGATCAGTGAATCAAGTCGGACGCAGTGGGAGAAACCTCAGGTTAAAGAGTCAAAGAGGCAGTTTATTTTTGATGTAGTAAACGAAGGAGGGGAAAAGGAAAAAATGGAACTTTTTGTTAATTTTTGTGAAGATACCATCTTTGAAATGCAGTTGGCTGCTCAGATCTCAGAATCAGATCTGAATGAGCGGTCTATGAATAAAGAAGAAAATGAAAACGAGAAGCTGGAGGAGCAAGACCCCCGAATAGGATTCTTCTCTCTAGTGACCATCACATCAGCATTAATAGCCCTCAGGCATAACATAATGACTCTGATGAAAATGTTAAGCATGAAAAGTATAAAGAAGCAAATGAAGAAGATGAAAAAAATGACCATGAAGGACATGGTCATGGCTCTGTTTTCTTCCTACTGGACCATTTTAATGGGTTTCATGCATTTTTTATCGAGCGTCTTCAGAGGCTTCTTTCAAATCATGTACAGCTTGCTGCTTGGAGGGAGCCTGGTTGAAGGAGCCAAGAAAATCAAAGTAGCCGAACTTTTAGCTAACATGCCTGACCCTACTCAGGATGAAGTCCGTGGTGATGGAGAAGAAGTAGAAAGGAAGCCAATTGAAGCTGCTTTGCCTGCAGAAGACCTGACTGATCTCAAAGCTCTATCAGAAGATAGTGACCTCCTCTCAGATATTTTTGGCTTAGATTTAAAACGAGAAGGAGGACAATATAAACTAATTCCACATAATCCAAATGCAGGCTTGAGTGACTTGTTGAGCAGTCCTTCTTTACTCCCTTTACCTGATGTGCAAGAAAAAGTACAGGTACAAATACTGTTTTTATTTATCTGCCTTGTTTAACTCTGTTTTTTCTTTTTTTAAAGCTTGCAAATAAGAATTTCATGTTTGTCAACCCTATTTAAAATAACAAAGTTTTTCTTGTTTTAAGATCAGTTACAATCTTTAGGTAATTTTAAGTAATTTTTTTCCCCAAGATTGTAGGGGTTTAAAAATTAGGTTCAATTTCAAAATGAAAGAATCATTTACAAGTGAAAACGTGTTACCTTGTTTTTATACATCAGACAGAGAATGTATGTGTATTTTTAAAGATTTTGTAGTAACAATACCCTTTTGTTGTTTTATGCCATATAAGTTGAAAATGGACCATTGTTTTCCTTTTTGTTTATTTTTATTTATTCAAGGACCAGAAGATGAATGAAGATGGAAAAGATGAAAGGGAAGATACTAAATTTGAACATGAAAAAGCAGAGTATGTCCCATTCCTTTTGGAATTAATAGTTTCATCAAGATTGTGACCTTATTGGGGGAAAAAACATCCAAGGACGTTCATGAGAATTCATTCTAAATTTTGTATTGCAGTATAAATTAACAATTTGTTTGTATATATTTACTTTATGTTTATTGTACTTGAGGAATCAGGCAGAACACCATGTAGAAGTTTGTAACCTAGAATTACACCACTCTTGTTTTCTAATCTATTTTTAATTTTCAGCACAAAATTTTTTCCATTTTAATTTTATTATAAAATGGTTATTGTTGTTAGATTTTCTAAGTTCTTTGTATATCGTTCATTTTCCATAGTCTTTGTTCAACTGTTACCATACCCATGCCCTTAAAAAAAAAAGACCTGTCCTTTCCATGGTGCAGTTGATTCTTTCCTCATTGAGATATTAAATTTTGGATAGATTGACATTAAAAATAAAAGATAAAGGAGATACAGAATATTATTCAACGTAGGATAAGTTTTACCAGTGGTTAGATATAAGGGGTAGAAGTTAGAAGAAGAAAGATTATTGTTATGTGTATGTAAAGATGAATATTATCTATTACTATAAGCATGCTGGTATAATTAATATGATTACAAATAAGCTAATACAACTATAATTATTGCTATAATTATGTATAATATTACTAGTATATGTTGTTTTTTCAGTAAAATGAAGTGTCTGGACAATATACTGTGTTGAGGTAATTCCCCATTAGGAGAATGAGCACATACAGGGAGACGTAGTGAGAGTAATGTTGAATAATACACACACAGCACACAGATACACTACAGTAAATGTAGGTTTTTACTTCCAATAAACGTTTAAGCACGGTCCAAGATAAGCAGTCCAAAGTCATTCACGGTAAGGCAGTCAGTGTTCAGTTTAGTGATAATCCAAATATCAAAGTCCAGTATCAAAAAACAGTTCAGTAACAGAGTTACATCAATGATCAGTAACAGTCATTAGGAGCAACGACAACACTCTCCAGAAAACACCAGAACAGAAACTCACTGAGACAAAACAACCCAGGTTTCTGGCTTCATTTTTTGGCCATTTGCGGAACCACACCCAATTACAGTTTTAGCATTCTCTTAAAGATATAGTATTAAAATGTCTATCCTAGTTTATATATTTCCAACCCAAATACCTGTTAGGTGACTTACATTCCTAACATTCTCCCCTTTGGGTAGGACAATATATACAACCTTACTTTCTACGTCCATAATCCTCGCAGCACACTTTATGATTTATAGAGCCTTGGGCCTTTGTAAAATGATCTGCTATATTGTTTTCTGACATACAGTATTCTCACATTTAAATATCTTAAATCTGTGTGTTTCATTCTTGTTTTAACAGCAATATTTGAAGCCATCTGTATTGCTGATTGGTTGTCTTCGTAAACAACAATAGAATATGTTACATCAATTCCCATGTCAATCAATAATTGCTTATAACAAACTAAATCTGTACATAATAAAGATAAATACAAGAATTCAGCCTCCATTGTTGACAAACTTAGATGTTTCTATCTAATAGACCTCCATTCAGTTAACACCTTTCCCAATAACACTACAGTACCCAATGTAGATTTTCATGTATTCATGTCTGTAGCAAAACTTGCATCAGCATATGCAGTTAAATTCAGTTCATCTTTAGGCTCCAAATACAATGCATAATGCATTGTCTGTTTCAGATATCTTAACACATGTTTAGCAGCTTGCCAGTGCTTTTCAGTCGGCTCAGTGTAAAAATCTCGCTAATTGATTAACACTGTATGCTATATCTGGCCTTGACCAATTACTGAGATAAGATAAACTACCAATCAAGGACTGATACATGTTCTTATCAAAAATAGGACTTTGAACATCACTATGGCTAAACTGCTGGCTCATTGATGTTTTAGCCGGCTTACAAAGTTCCATTTTAAAACTTTTTAGTAATTGGTTAATTTTATCTGCCTGTGAGATTTTGTATCCTCCCCTAGTTTTAGCTGTCTTTAAACCAAGATATTGTTTGATTTCTCCTAACTGCTTTATCTTAAATTTCTTCTCTAACAGTGATATTATTTCAGTAGCTTCTTGTTCAGTTTTGGTGATTAATGCTATGTCATCAGTAAATAATAGCAACAATTACACCATTGCTTTCTCTTTTAAACAAACATGGATCAGCCATGCCAGCTACAAAACCTATCTTAGTTAATTCTTTAACTATACATTGGTTCCACTCATATCCTGATTGCTTCAAGCCATAAAGACTCTTTTTCAATCTCCAGCAATCAGTTGTATTATCATTTTCTATACCTAAAGGTTTCTTTAAATATATAGTGTGTTGCAACGGTGCATGCAGATATGTCATCTCTACATCCAAATGTTTTACAATATATTTCTCCTTAGCTGCCCACACTAATGCTGCCCTTAATGTAGTAGCCTTCAGACTAGGCTCAAACACCTCATCGTAGTCATTTGCTGTCTGATTGAACCCTTGTGCTACTAACCTGGCTTTATGGGTAACAGTCCCATCTATACTAGTCTTAAGTTTATAAATCCATTTACACACCCTATGGCATGTTTACCAGGTGGTAACTAAACATTTTAATATACCTCCAGTTTTTTTAATGATTCCAGTTCCTTATCCATTGCTTTCTGCCAAGCAGCCTGATCCTTAGCAGGATACAGTTTTAGTTCACTATAGTTACTTGGAACTGTGTATTCACTTGGCATACAACACTAGCCTGATATCTATCAGGTGATCATGTTACTCATCTTGAACATCTTGGTAATACAGGGCTTACTGGTGGACTCACTTGTGCCACCTGCTCCTGTTCTCCTACTTCCTCCTGTGCCTGTTCTTCCTCTTTAATGGCTATTTGTGGTTTACTTATTTTATCTTTAGGGACTACTCAATAATAACATCATTGCTGGATTCCTGTTCCAGTTTATTCCACCCAACGTACTCAAGAAATTTTGCACTAGCACTACAATAAACATAAGCTGTGCCTTGAACCCAAAATCCAAACGATCTATGGTTGGCCTTGTAACCTACAAAAAATAGCTTCTTAGCTCTATATTGCCCCTTCAGTCTTACTTGTGAGGGAATATGCACCCATGCTGGAGCTCCAAATGTGTGTAGATAACTTAAATTTGGTTTTCTGCCATGCCAACAAGTGAATGGTAATTCTCCAGTTGTTGTATTAACTACGTTGTTTGACATATGGTTGCTACACATTATGGCCTCACCCCACAGTGTTTCAGGCAAACCTGAATCAGATAACATAGTGAGAGCCATGGCTTGTAATGTTTGCCCTCTTCATTCTACAAATGAGTTATGTTGTGGTCTGTAAGGTGCAGAACATTTATGTTGGACACCAGCCAATTTCAGCATTGTTTGGAATCTTTCAGTAACTAAAGTAATTACTTTACTCCTCACTTTTCTCTCTGCAAACCTTAGCCAATTAAAGAAATGTTGGAATGTTTCTGTTTTGTTTTTCATGAGATAGCAGAAACCGTATCATGAGTAATGGTCCGTAATATTTAAAATATAGCAGGCATTTCCCAAACTAGGTTTCTTAGGATCATTTATGTTAGCAAACACAACCTCTAAAGTTTCTTTGGTCTTAAACCCATTAAGTCTGTTTGCAGGAGTAATCTTACTTTTCTCCTGACTACAAGCATTACAGTTTAAATACTTGCTACAGGGTTTCAATTTTACTCCCTCTGACAATTCAACAGTTTGTTTCAACATTTTGAAATTAA